TGCAAAAATCATGCTGGTTCTTCTTCTCAGATGGATGCTATCTAGACCCAGTGATTTGTCCATTTCTAATTCATAAATAAGGCCTAGAACTTTGTCTCTTGTCTCTATTATTGACTCAGCTCATCCTCAGACTCTGTCCTTCTCCAGGAAAGATACTTCAGCTGTGGGGATCTGTCCTACATCTCCTGCTGTGAAGGTGCTTGTCTTTGAGATCATTGTGAGGAAGGAGAGAGAGATGGGGGAGGGGGGAATATGGTCCCACCCACTTTGCATACGGACCCACCTGCCCCATCACACGGCCCTCAAAATGTTGTCCATGTGGAAATGTGGCTCTGAGGCTAAGATCCCCCACCCCAATTCAGAGCCTTGCTATGTTTGCTTCTGCCCTGAAACTCTTGCCTGTGCTCTCTTAAACAAAAAAGATCAGTGGCTAAAATGGGCCATAAAGGAAACTTGGCATATGCCACCTTGAAAACAAAGAAATCAGAGGCCATTTCAATGTTTGTTACTCTCTTGCCTCATACAGTCTCCATTCAAAGGGCTTCACTGCATATCTTTTATATGCTGCAAAGGCATATATGTGTGTTTTTAAAGATGTGGCAAGCTCTTCCAAGCGTGTCATCATCACGCACTGGGCACTGGCATGGATCACAGGGAAATTATCTGAGGAATCCACTTTTCAGATCACTAGTGCTCAGATTTTTGGCCTGACTTATGCTGCATCCTAAAGCCAAGCATGAGAAGTCCATCATCCTGGCCAGATTAGTTGTGCTCTGGGAAGCACATGAGAGCTTCACATCCTCCTCTTTTGAGTCGGAAATTCATTGCAGGGCATGGGAGAGCTGATAATAAATTGTGAATGGCTCCCGTTTAGATAAATATGTAATAACAACTTCTACTACTGTCACAACTGATTTGACATGTAAAGAGGCTAAAACTGTCTGATTTTAAGATTATTCCCTGACCGCCTGCTCACAGTCTCACATTTGCAAGGCCAAGACAAAAGGGAAAGGGCCTGGTGAGGGAAGAGGAAAGGTTATTAAATCTCACTAAACTAAGTCACTATACAAACATATTTGGTATCTTGGTCACAATAAATATGCCCCTGTCATCTAGCAGCAAACACTCCATCAGGCTACTTGATTGGCATAACCAAATTTCAGCTGGATGTTATAAGAACTATAACTCTAAGAACTGGTACCTGAGCTGTCATTTTTCCTCTCTCCTCCTCCCTCCCAATCCCTTTTTCCTTGTGTGCAAAGTCTTTTATAGCACAAACCTGAGGGCTGCAATTGTCAGAGTACTGCTCCAGCTAACCCCTTTTAGCTAAGAAAGGGATGGAAGAACACCTTTAAAATAAATAAAACAGCTTGCATAAAATTGGGTTTACATAGTGATTCATTTAAAAAAAGCATAGACTATTTTCAAACAAAATGTTTACAAAAATATTCACCAATAGATTTTGCCTTCTGCCAGCCACCTATGTCTGAGCCGTCAAGCAGCAAGACACCCTTGTCCACCCCCAAATGTGTGACCCTGCAGCCCTTGGGACTGTCTTCCTGCAAACAAAAGAAGGTGACTCAGTCACTCAGAATCCATCCATTGCAAGAAGCTCTGCGCTCTCAGACTGCGCAGGCACCTCCTCACCAAATTTGGATGAAGGATGATCTTCAACCATCTGGTCCCTATTTAAATTTTTAACCACCTCTCACTTGGAATATTTTCCCGTCTTTCTTTATACTCGTTTTGTCTTAACAAATTGGCCATAAGCTAAACGGCACCATCTGTGGCTCCCAGTAAATACAACTGTTGTTAATGAAATTACCCAGCTCCATCATTTTGATTTAAGTGCCTTGCCAGCTCCGCCAGCGACCTTTTCACTGCTTGCCATCAAATCACAGGTTTTGCAAATTTAGAGATATGGCCATGTAGGTCAGGCGTCAGGAAATTGGTCTTGGTGCCAAGTTTGCTCAGTGGGCCGGCAAGCAAGGCGCTGCTAAGAAATCACGGTGCCAGCGGTGCCAGCGAAAGACCGGGCCAGGTGCCCCTTGTGCTAGGCTCCAGGGCAGGGGACCCCCGCCTGGCCACCAATTGCTCTCTGTGCCCCCCTCTTCTTACCCTCCATTTCTTAGGGCGAGAATATGAATGACGGGATATATCCATCCTCACCCCTTTGGGGCTACGACCACTGATACTTTCAATTATCGAGTTAATTTGACTCAGCTGAAATTTAAAAAGGAAGGCGGAGTTACAGGTTAGGGATGCAAAGCTCAGGGAAGGGGAGAAGCCCTGTGGGGGAAAGCACTGCTTTTAATTGCTGAAGTTCTGTTGCTTTTCTGTTTTATGGATCATTGTAATGGTTTTATTCAAATAAGTTATGAGTTTGGGAGGGTCAGTCTGGATGATGCCCTGAGCCCCCACAAATTCTTGGGATCCTGCACTTCTTCATGCAGTGCATAGTTAAGCTATGGAACTCATGGCAGTAAATGCTTTTGAATACCAGTTATTTTATTAAGGTAACGACTTTGGCTAGATAGTTGGCATAACCATGATTGGCATAACCAAATATGTTGTTCTGTGCCTTAGAGCAAATGGGTGGGTATTTCCCTGCCCAGCTAGCTGCTAGGTAGGAGAACAGTAGTCAGAGTTGTGTGGGCAAAGCTGGAAACAGGGTGGAAACTGGAGACCCAGAGACATACTTGCTCTATACTGGATTTGGGGGCTTCCCTGGCAACCAAATGGGAAAGCAAGATCAGTTGGAGGGTTAATGCTGCGAGACCCTCCATCCTATGCTCAGGTTGTGCATATGTATAAATAAAACCATATATCCTAAAGAAGCCACAGTTTCTGATAGAAACTGAGCCCTGGGTAAGTCCTGGAACCCCTAGAGTCTCTCACTGCTCAGAGACTGGCACGGCACCTAACATTATATCATTGTGGCCTTTTAAATTACGATATTGGCCTTTGGTTTTCTCATACTCTTTTGGAGTGAGCAACTAATAAGTCAAAGCAGCATCAAACAATAACAGGAAGATAGGATGGCACAGGGCAGGATAGGATAGGGACTGAGGAAGATGCCTTCTCAGTCAGACCATTGGGTCCATCCAGCTAATGTCTGCACTGGCTGGCAGTGGCTCTCCAGGGAGCCTCTCCTATATGGAGACCAAGCCTGACACCTCCTGTGGGCAAGGCAGATGCTCTACTGCTGAGCTACATCCCTTCTCACCAATAATAGATTATTTTTAAAAGCTGAACAAGAGAATTACAGCTGTCTTGAGTCTGGGGAAAAGGTGGGATATAAATAAATACAACTAGCAAACACAAAACCCTCCAAGTGTCCCATTTTCCCAGGGACAGTCTTGGAATTACGAACGCCATCCCAGCTTCTGATTTGATCCTGCCATGTCTCCATTTCCCCTGCCAGTGCTGCTGTCTCCGAGCTCGAGGAGGAGGCTGAGCCAGCGCTTGCCCCAAGTGGCATCAGGGGAGCATCCCATTGCCTCTCCATCGTGGCCTCTCCATGGCTGCCTCTGCTGGCCTCCTCCCTTGGGCAGCTCATAGCGGCTGGAGGAGGGTGGGTGATGAAGAGGGGCTGCCACCACTAAGGCCCAGTCCCACGTGATACGACAGCTCTGAGGTGCAGAGGGCAAGGCTGCCCTGGGTAGGAAGAAGGGGGGAGCAAAGTGGAGTGCAAGGAGACTTGATTTTTTTAAAATAATGCTTTGTGCATCTAATCTTAAAGGTAAAGGTACTCCTGACCATTAGGTCCAGTCGTGGATGACTCTGGGGTTGCGAACTCATCTCACTTTACTGGCCGAGGGAGCTGAGGTTTGTCCGCAGACAGCTTCCGGGTCATGTGGCCAACATGACTAAGCCGTTTCTGGCGAAACCAGAGCAGCTCACGGAAACGCCATTTACCTTCCTGCTTGAGTGGTACCTATTTATCTACTTGCACTTTGACGTGCTTTCGAACTGCTAGGTGGGCAGGAGCAGGGACCGAGCAACGGGAGCTCACCCCGTGGTGGGGATTCGAACCGCCAACCTTCTGATCAGCAAGCCCTAGGCTCAGTGGTTTAGACCACAGCGCCACCCGTGTCCCAACATCTAATCTTACTCTTTTCTAAATCTTTTTTTGGGGGAGGTGCACTTTTCTTTTTGTAAGTCTACCAAAGAATAAAATAAAAGCAGGATTAGTGGGTTTTCTCCGGACGGTGAAGGGTGTGTGTTGTGTGTCCTGCTGGTGTGGCAGTGGTGACACTCGCCCTTCTTCTGATAGGTGATGCTCTTGGGGGACAAACATGGGAGTTTGAGGAGAGTCAGTTGGTGGGGAGTGAGAAATGTCCCTATTTTCATCTGAGGAATGTTGGAGGGGGGGGCAAGCAACATGCCTTCTGTAGCTTCTTAAAGCAGCTTCTCGTAAGCCAGTTCCCAAAACTTCAGATTCCATTCCTCCCATATTCACACAGACACTCTCACGGGCCGAGCATAGGTGCAGCACCCGAGTGGCAGGTTGGGTTGACTGGCCTTTGAGAACAAAAGGACAGCTTTAAAAATCCACTAAGCCAGGGGTGGCCAACTCGCAAGAGACTGCGATCTACTCACAGAGTTAAAAACTGGCAGTGATCTACCCCCTTTTTTGGGGTTCAGGTCTAAGTTGTTGAGCTTCTTTTGGGGTAGCCACCAGCCACTAATCTACCAGTGATCTACCACAGACGTCCGGTGATCTACCAGTACATCACAATCTGCCTCTTGGATGTGCTGGCACTAAGCAACCCTGTGGAGACAATTTAATCTCCAGCAATAAACAGGAACTTCAAGGGGGCATAAAAGTTTCCCAAAAGACACTCCAAATCTTAATATTTCTCCCCATCTGTTTTCTGATTCTTACAGCCCTAATAGGCTGATGCCTCAGCCTAAAAAATCTTACTGGTGACACTCCATTGTTATGTAACCAATCAGATTTCGTTATTAGTTGGCAAAGCTGTTGCTAGGTGATTCCCAAACAGCCAATTTGTAGACTTTCTTTGCAGATCTATGGAACGACCAACTGAACATCAAGTATATGGGGGATATCTGAACATAAAAGGAGGCTGCTGGATCAGGCCAATGGCCATTCTGGTCCAGCATGCCCAGGGGTAAACCCTCAAGCAGCACCCAGGCACAACAGCCCTCACCCCTTCTGTGGCTTCCAAGAACTGGCATTCAGAAGCATTATGCCTCCAAACGTGGAAGCAGAGAACAGCCATCATGGCTGGTAGCTGCTGCTAGCCTTCTCCTCCATGGATCTGTCCAGTCCTCTTTTAAAGCCATCCAGGTTGGTCATCGCTGCCTCCTGTGGGAGTAGTTCCATAGTTTTACTATGCACTGCATGTGTAGAGATGGGGTTTCTGATATACCGTATTTTTCGCTCTATAAGACGCACCCGACTATAAGACGCACCTGGTTTTAGAGGAGGAGAACAAGAAAAAAAATACTCTCTTCCTCTCTGCGCAGTGCCTCTCCAGCAAAGCGGGAGGAGAAATGGAAGGGGCTCCGATCCCTCCTGCTTTCCTGGCTTCAGCGAAAGCTGCGCAGCCTGCATTCGCTCCATAAGACGCACACACATTTCCCCTTACTTTTTAGGAGGGGAAAGTGCGTCTTATAGAGCGAAAAATATGGTATGTGCCATAAGGGACACCTCTTTGAAGCACATATGCGTGTGTGTGTGTGTGTGTGTGTGTGCACGCGCGCGCGCACACACACACACAGACACAGACACACACACACACACACACACACAAGCTGCCCCAAAGTCCCCTTTTCCCCTTAACTGGAAGGGGGAAATTTCTATCATGAGAGGGTGTGTGTAAAAAAGTGAAGTCTGTTAAGCAACCGTCTTACACTACCAAGGTGTAGAGAAACCTCCTGGAGTGATTCATCCTTCCCTTTGCACAATGCAACTGCACGTCCCAGGAGACACCTGTTCATCAACAAGCTGTCGTGTTTTTGAAGAAATGAACAACCCCTGAAACAATTGCAGCTAGCAAAGGCAAGGAACACTGGCTAGAGGTTATATATTGCTCAAGGCGGGCACAGGTGGATGGAACTGCAAGCCAGGTCAGAAACAGAACTAAGCAAGAGGGGGGAGGTTTATGTTTTGCGGACAGGAAAAGGGCAGAAAAAGAATGACCCATCAGAGGCGACTGCCCCTAAGTGAGCGGAGCAGCTGCTCATACTGGGACGAGATGGTCAGTAAGGCTGTCTGGAAAGAAAAAGCACAGGGCCATCTGCCGACATGGGACTTTGCACCTTCTGGGTACAGCAGAGAGTCTGTCCAGTAAAGCTTCTCCAAGTCATGACAAGGGGAGGAAAATGAAATCAAGTTTGCCCAGCAGAAACTCAGTCTCTAGATTCCATGCCAATCAAAACAATGTTCAGTTCTGTTGAATCAGCTATAAGGGGCAAATTCTGCAGCCTAGGACTTCCTAATGCTTGGCACCATCAGTAGATGACCCTAACAAGGATTAAACTCACAACACAGGGAAGGAAGGGCTTTAATCCAGCATGCCCCACCATGGTGCGATCCAAGTCCAACATTTTTATCAACTTGACAAAGCCAGCTCTCATTTGCTAAATTCAGTTTAGGAGTCTCAGATGCAAAGTTTAGCTGGCTACAGATTCTGAAACATCCGTAGGCTAAACGTCATTAGGTGGACAGTCTTTAGCTAAGGGCAAAGCCAGGGGCACTTGGAAATGCTGATAGCGCTAGGGAGAGAAAAGAATGCGGTTCTCCGCTTTGGAGAGGGACACTTGGTGGAAAGGATGTGCAGCAGATGCTTCCTAGCCTTATTGCATTTTAAGTTATGTTCACTCACCTGACATCACTTAAATTAGTTATCCCTTCTTTGTCTTCCCATGATCATCATGTATACAATCACTTTTTTGGCATCCTGGAGGAAATTCACATTCTCTTGCTATATGTTGAAAGGTGGTATATATATTATAATCAATCAATTAATTTAAGAATGACATGTTTTCTGATTTTAGATAACACCAAACCACTTTGAATACAAACCATACAAACAGCAAGGTGTCAAGTGGTTAAGAGAATAAATTCATCATCAACAAAAACAACTGTTCCCACCCTAAATATGAGACCATATTTCTTCCAACTGAGCTCTGATACTGGAATAAAGTCTTTGGCATAGAAGGTAGAAGAGGTGGCTGCAGAGCTTCAAATCCTTTGCGGAATAGGGAGACACAGCTTTCTGTTAGGGATGGAGTCAGAAGCAAGTCAGCAGTAAAGGAAGCAGACCTCCATTGTCAGTGAAGTTAATTCTTTATTCAAGAAATTGAACATACAATTCAGCCTAGTGGTCTCAGCAACACTTCCCAGTAGATCTTGCCCTTATGGAGCAGTTGCCAGGACTGAAGATCCCAACCATCCTGGATGTTTCCCAAGCAGTCTCAAACTGCGTCTGTGCACCTCTGACCTCTGCTCTGCTAATTACTCTGTGTGTTCTTGGAGACCAGAGGAGAGGGGAATTTGTTGCAGCAGGAGAGGGAGACTCTAGGGATTCTCCAGCAGCCTCGGAGTCTGAACTGCTCCCTGCCACTGGCTCTTCCTGCTCACTAAACCCTGTTGCCCCTTCAGCACCCAGCACCTCCTCCCAATCTTCTCCCTCTGACTGCTTCTCGGCATCCCACCACTAATCCCCTGGCTCTGAGCCCTCCTCTTCTGAGGTTTCCCAGCTGCTCCCTCCCACCAAGGCCAAATGTGTACTTAACAATTTGCTAATTAACTAATGGTCCATAAAAGACCACTGTCTCCAAGTGGCAGCCAATGAGTCAATGGTCATTATGGAGATAGACCGTCACTTAAAGACACAGGCTTTCATACTGTCATGGGTAGTTTGGCCCTACAACAGGCTTAACCAATACCAGGGCTGGCCCAGGCCATTTCACTGCTCGAGACAAAGGAGGGGATGGTGCCCTTTGACCCCTCCCAATGCAACCAGACTGGCAGTTGAAGCTTCCTTCAACAGTGGGAAAAACACCCTCCACCACCCTGACAGCAGCTGGCTAGCTTTGGGGCCTCAAAGGGAATTGCGGGAAGCTGCTTCCCCTCCCAGCATTAGCTACCTGAGGCAGCTGTATCACTCCACCTAATATGATGGCTGGCCCTAACCAATGGCATAGCATGAGGGGGCACAGGGGCAGTTGACCTGGGCGCAAGTTTATTAGGGGTGCAGCATTTCAACACCTAGTGCTGCCTCAGTTCCTGAGTACAGCTGTGTGCTTCTGTTGCTGGGCTCCGTTGAAAACGGCTTCTCCAGGCAAACCAGAAAGCGACCTCTCCAGACAATGGAACAACTCTTATCTCTGTGGCTGCAATCTCCTGGGTAATGCAGACACCATTGAATGTGCATGCGTACTCCATTTCCCTCTCTCTGCATGACCCTGGGCGATGGCAACCCACACTACACCACTGGCCCTAAGGGATCCCTCACCCCCAGATGTAAAGCAAACGGAGGAAAGGAGGTAAAAAAGCCACAACACACCTCCCAGAGCTTCTTCCTTCAAGGGAAGCATCACTGATTACTTAATACCCCAGCAAAGTGTCTTGACCCTCTTAAAGCAAAGGTCACAGAAGTTAATTTGCCAGCCAGGGATGGATGCAGGGATGGCCGTGTTTTGATTTGAACCCTTCGGCCTGAAGGAGACCCGGCATTTCAAAGTGGCTATGCCGTTTATTAAACTCTCCTCTCTGGATTAAGCAATGGCTTGCAGCTCCAAAACTGCCAAGCCATCACATTTCCCAGGCAATTCACTGTTTGAAGAGAAAATGTAAAAATAAAGTCCGCAGAAAGCAGCCTCTCTCTCCTCTGCGAGGGAAATTCACATAAGGAGCTTAGCTGCGTTTCTCAGCTTGGGGAGCTTACACCGGGCCCTCCTCTCTCCCCTGACAGCAACACAAAGTATCCAGCTAGAGAGATTTACTGACGATGCCAAGCGACACAACAGGTCTCGCAAGTCATCCCCACCATCACCCCACCCCACCCCGCCCCACAATTTTCCATTGCAAAGAAGGAAAAGGACAGGCTGGCACATCAAGCTGAGAGAGCAAAGAGGGGGCAACACACTCAGAGGGGCTGAGCATACAGAGCAATCTTGGCTGAGCAGCCTTCGCCAACCTGGTGCCCCCTGGATGCTTTGGACTGCAGCTCTCAGCCCCCCGAGTCTGCAAAGCAGAGGCGCTGCCACATCCGAAGCCCTCCCATCCAAGCTCACTGGCACCTTTCAGTCAGTTGAAAGCACTCTAGGAGCCTGCAGAGCGGAACTGGAGAAGGGGGCCCTGGGCAGAGAGGCCTGGAGGGCTGCCTGATATTCCCTATCCATACTCTTAACCCAGAACCCTTAACAAACCACGGTAATCAGGAAGGTGTGCCATATTCTGGTTAGGGTTGCCATGTGTCTTCTATTCCCAGGACACACCCTCTTTTCTGTCTGGGTGGATTTTTTTTAATTTGCCAAAATATCTCTGGCTATACTTTCTGGATGACACATAGATAGAACTGGTGGTTGAAGACTTGCTTTCCTCTTCTCTTCTCCTGCCACCCCCCCTCAGCAATATATCACAGCTTCTATAGCCCACATATAGTACACTGGTACCTTGGGTTACATACGCTTCAGGTTACAGGCTCCGCTAACCCAGAAATAGTGCTTCAGGTTAAAAACTTTGCTTCAGGATGAGAACAGAAATCGTGCTCCGGCAGTGCGGCAGCAGCAGGAGGCTCCATTAGCTAAAGTGGTGCTTCAGGTTAAGAACAGTTTCAGGTTAAGTACGGACCTCCAGAACGAATTAAGTGGTAACCTGAGGTACCACTGTAGGGGTATTTAAAATGAGAGTCGTCATAGGGCACCTCTTTTTTGCTCTTCAAAACATGGCAGCCCTAGACTTTACCTCAGGCAGCAAAATGCATGAACCAAAAGACAGCTACCCTTCAAAATTTGCAGTTCTCCAACCAAAAGAATGTGCACCAAAATGTGGAGGGGGGGATGCCTAAAAGTGTGCATATTGTTGAGAACATCCAAAATCACATTACTATATTGGGGGAAATTGCTTGCAGAAATGAGCATCATAGCCAAAACTGGCATACAATATTTGCACATTAGAACTAAAAATGCATTTTTTGGGGAGGACTTAAAACCAAAAAAAAATAAAAAAATGCAAATGCAGCGAACTGCACTTAAGAGTGGAAAAATGAGAAATGGAAGAAATTGGCCGATTTCTCCACCCCTCCTTGAGGCACACACCTACAGCACAGGCATCTATCATGGTTAGGAAAACTGGTGATCTTTAGTATCAGCCTTTGGCAGCAGCCAGGAACGTGGCTACTTCCCGCCTTTAAAACCCTCCATCCCTTTATTAATAGAAGCATCAGCTCATTAGGCTGTCTCTACAAGTCAGGGAACATCTGAATCTTATTTAAAACTTTATTAGCTTCCCATTCACTGCTTCAGCATTTGCTCCATGGGTCTTCCAGGCAAGCCTGATGCGGTGCTACTTTCACGGCTCGTTTCCTCACAAGGGGACATTTCTGGGTGCTTACAAGGATCAAGCCATGGACAGTTGACACACACCTGCATAAATTTTGCAGCTGTTAATTTATTTGCATCTACACAAGTGTAGGGTACTTTTCAGAGAGGAAAAACGAACTCATTCTGCTTGCTGTTGTTGGGGCTTCCTCTGAGCTACGGGGAGCCAAGAGGCTCCTCTGAGCCCAGGACAATGCACATGGATCAGGCCCCTACTTGCTCTTCCCCCACCCCAAACAAATTAAGATGGTGGGTATGTGAGGAGTGAACTGTGCAACGTTCCCAGCTTCCATGGGATCAAAGTGAAAACTAAATCCCATAAACACATAATTTTTAAAAGGGAGACCCAGGGACCCCTGCTCTTTGCCCATCTCCCAAGTTTGCAAAAGGAAACACATGTGCGCATGAGTTGCTCTGGTGGTGACTTGGCCACTGGCCTACAAAGCTGCAAAAGTCCCATGCTGGAAGCAGAAGGGCACTTTTTACCACTCCCCAAATATATGACCCTCACCATTCACAGCTCTTATGGGTGGAGCTTCGGAAGCTGATTCACCAAGTCATGCTGCTATTATTATTACTATTGTTATTACGCATATACAGTGCACATGCGGGTTGCAATTCAGCACTTCTGCGCATGTGCAAAGCACGATTTAGCGCTTTTGCACATGTGCGACTGCCGAAACCCGGGAGTAACCCATTCCAGTACTTCCGGGTTTCGGCGGTCCGCAACCCAAAAAATGCAACCTGAAGTGTCTGTAACCCAAGGTATGAGGAGCTCAAGGTGGCACACACGATTCTGCCTCTTCCCATTTTATGTTCATGACTGAGAGACAGTAACTGGCCCAAGGCCACCCACTGAGTTTGCATTTTATGGCAAAGTGAAGATCTGGCCCATAGAAAACACCATATAATCTCTTATCATTAGGGAGGTCACTATTTCCACCAGGAATACACACTAGTTCCTCACACCCAGACCTGACAAGGAGCATAAAATCTTTTCCTGAGGGAGGGGCCAAAAGGCTGGAAAGAATGAGCAAAGGAAGAAAGGAATAAACCTGTAGCAATTTAAAGCACTCCCCCCCCCCCCACATGATATGCTCCTCCAGAATACAGATAATGTTCTGCAGACTCTTAAAAATCTGGGGATGCAATTTATCCCCATGAAGTCTTCAATATGACTAATAAAAACACATTGTCCTCTAAGTCATGGATTAAAGCTGAGATGAGCCCCTGGCAGGACGCTCTGCCTTCCTGCCTCCCCTTCGCTGGTTCTGGCTTTGCTGATCTCCACACACACTGATTGGTAGAACAAACAATAGCAAATGCCATCTGCCATTGATCATCTGCTGCTGGGTGAGAATAGATCTTTAATCACTGTCTCCCTGGGAAGAATACAAAAATCGAGATGGATACGAAGGTGTCACAGTTGGAGAGACAATTGCAACGCTTTCATTAAAAATTTTGGGACTCCAGCAGACCAAAGGCTGGCCCACTTTTAAAAAGAAAAACTATTTAATGCACTTTCTTCCAGCTGTTGGGAAGGCCCAGAAACTGATTTCAAATCACAATTGTGATACATGGATGTAGACAGGCTTTATGTTTGGGGGGGGGGTATGTTGGGGGGGGGAGAACATCATTTAGTTAAATATTTTCATTGAGTTGCTTGATTTAGGGGGGGGGGGGGCATCTGCCCCCTGCCCAAGTTGTGATGTACTGATATATTTAATGTAGGGAGCCTCAGGCCACACACAGAGACCCTGACAGAGGTATCAGCATTTTCCAGGTACTTCTGAACTGATGGGAAGTTGAAAATTGGTAGCTCAACAGTGAAATCAGGACATGGACCTTTTGCCACATGTCCCCTTCCTTTGTGGTCAGGTATATGGCTTCCAAGGAAGAGAGGCCTTTTTAGTGGTGGTGTCCCAATGGCAGCCATTTGTGCGCATGTGCCTGTCACCATCTCTCACCTCTAGACACTAGGTAAAGTCCATCCTGTTGCCCAGAGCTTTTGATATCACCCTATTTCCTTTCATCTGCTTTGTATGTGCTTGTTTCTTACTAGGTGGATTTTTTTATTTTTAAAAAACACACTTTTATAATCTGGTACTGATTCCACTGTTATGTTTTGCCTGGTGCCTTGAGTGTTTTTGAATAGAAAGGCAAGGCACAATTTTTTAAAATAAAATATATTCAGTTGCAGAGTTCACATGAAAACATGGACTTGCAATGAAAATCTGACACAGCTTGAATTATAAAAGTCCCCCCTACCTGCAAACATACCCCCTCCATTTGGACGGGGAGGGGGAGCACTGACCTGGAAGACAACACCTCAATTTTATATGCAATAAAAAGCATACATAATGAATTACACCACCACTTATCCTTTGATCTCCACCTGGATGGCACACACACTCTGTAAGTGGAAGAGGCATGAACAACAGCTGCTTGGGCTGCTTGTGTGTGTTTTAATGTAACAAAAAGTGTTGTGGCACCTGAAAGGCTCAACAAATTTATTATAGCATAAGCTTCCACAGACTGTCTTTTGGAATTTTTTTTGTTTTAATAAATTTGTTAGTCTTTCATGTGCTACAAGACTCTTTGTTCTAAGGCAGCTTCCCCGCTGGAAAATGTAGGGTGTCTGTGTGCAAGACAGAAAACAGACCTTTCACTTCAAGGGTTGTCAAGCGGACAGCACTCAGTTTCAAGAGAGACCTGGACCAAGTCCCGTTTCAGGTAAAGGGGGAGGCAAAGCCAGAGGTTGTGAAGCTGCCCATCCACAGTTCCTGGACAGCAGCTGGACAGTCACTGATCGTCCCCACTGTGGACAGGTGTATTCTAGTTCTATTTAAATTGGTTAGATCTAAATTTGCATGTGTACATCTAATTAGCAGGTGCAAGTGTATGCTAATTTCTGCCCTTTTGCACCCTAGAAAGTTGTGTGTTTTGTTTCTTTGTGCCTTTTCCTTTGCTGTTATATGCCTATAGAAATATGTCAGAACTCCAGACAATCATCACCACCACCCTCCCAACTCCACCTGCATGCTGTGCTGCCGTCCTCCTTGTGTTAAGTAGAAATCTGTTTCTGGGTCCTATGGAAACGCAAGTAAAAGTCTCACGGCTGCCGCACAGTTCAGACACCTCCTTTTTGAGAGACCCGGTCTCTCATGCCACCTCCTTTACATATCGATGAACTTAAGGCAGGGCAAAACTAGGCTTTATTTCACCTGGGTCAAAGACTCAGTTTGGCGTGCGCGCACACACACACACACGCACACA